TGTGGGAAAATTCTACTACCAGTCCTTCATCACCTTAGACGAAATAGGGTGAATACATCTCATTACACTGGTTTACTGGTAGTCTCGAAACCCTACTCTAATACGAATATAAGTGGAGTCTGTCTTGGCAAATAGTCTATTTAAGGGTTGAGGTGTGCTGTCGGCGAAAGTCCGCGATACAATGCTGAAAAGTACCATGAGTGCATTGGCATAAAATGCCATACAAAGTGCGTTCTTCCAGGTGACCTTGGCAACACGACTAAATTTCGAGATCGAAAGAGCGAAAGGAGGATGCAACTGAAATAGGGGTGATAACATCTTACTCATCGCGTTGTCGAAGAAACAGGCTCCCGAGGCTAAAGCAAATAGCAATGCACGGCGTGAGCCTTTTCTGTGAAGAATTCGTGTCAAGTGTGCAGTCGGCGGAGCGCTCGGAGCGGGCGGTCGGGCAGCGCGCGAAGTGGCTCGCAAATTGCGCCAGCATAATAAGGCCTCAATTCAAACAGCTCGTGATTAAACAAAGGCCTGCCCGCACTTACCGCCGCAGCTGCAGGTGTCCGGCCGGCAGGCGCAGCCGACCGACAGACCGACATACACATATATACCTACAGACATACAGACCGACTGGCCAGCCTGACCTAGGCTGAAAGGTCAAAGGATGAGTGGGCCCGGCTGGCTTTAGTGCGTCGGCTCGGCCTGGCAGGGACGAGTCGCAGGAGGCCCTTCTACTGCTGACACTGTCAGCCACCTGGTCAGCCGCGAGGCGAGTGTGGGCAGGTTGAGAGACAGAGGCTTCAGGGTTGAATGACCGAACACTGCTGTTGCGGTATGCAAATGTCCATATCGATCCAGCTCTTCATGTTATTTAAGGCTTTACGCCAATCAAAACAATCCAAGCGATGCCCCAAACAGTGCTCTAATTGGTCATATTCCTCTGTCTAAGTCTCACCAATGCCTGATCGCCATGCTCCGAGTGCCGATCTAATGATAAGCAAGCTTTCTGTCTTTTAAATCGATCAATGAGCTAACTGCATTATGATTGGTCACTGTCTTCACTATTAAAGGATAGTCATAAGGTCTTCCTCTAAATATCTGTTTGCTGTTTCTTCTTCCTTACGTCTCTTCTCGTCCTCATCATGGTCAAACAAATTTCCACAAAGGTAACTCCCGTTATTTTATTCCTTCTACGCAATGTTTTTAATTTTTTCCCAATTATATATAATAGTTTCAACGGGTGGCGTTCCACGCCATTCTGCCTCGCAATTCAGATTCATAACCCCTCCCCAACGCTATTTTAATACTAAATTATGCATTCGAAACTGATCTCCACTTTATTTGGCCAGCCTTGTACTTTCTTGGCTCGATGCAAATCTTTATATCTCAGTTAGCCAAATTTCGTATTTCAATCTTTAAAAAACCTTTTTACATTTTTCTTTATCACAGCAAAATTTGGTAGATGCACTGAAAGAAGCCCAAAACAAATTGGTCGTGGTAGACTTCTTTGCCACTTGGTGTGGACCATGTTTACGAATCGCTCCCGAGATACAAAGCTTGTCTGAAAGTATGCCAGAAGTTGTTTTTCTCAAGGTCGACGTCGATTCGTCCGAGGTAAGCGCCATATTCTTTCTACTTATGGTGTTAACAAGTTTAATCATGGGTAAAACTGACCCGTATACCTAGACTAGCATCTTCGGCCATCGACCCACCATTTTACTCAGCGCTCCCTCAAGTTG